GGGGGGGGGGGGTGGTTTAAACGAAAGGAGTATAACTCGTTAAATATTTGTATAGAGCTGGTCTTTTAACTGGACATCAGGCGTGAGAAAGACTTATTTTGTGAAAAATCCTAGAAAACTTGAAGCACTGGGAATATTTTTTTTTTTGATGAAATAAATTGTTGCATTAAAAGGCATCAAAAAGATGCAAGACTACAAGGAGCTACTTACAAGAAGCAGATATACAAAAAAACAAAAGTGAGTTGAAGCACTGGGAATATAGGGCCAGCGCTAGGCTTGATCCTTTTCTTCTTTTTGTTTTTTTTCCCTGTCAAATGGAATTGTCATTCTTGCTTATGATAAAGGATTCCTTTGCTGAGATGCTTTATCCAAATCTGGTGTTGCCATTACTTTTCTTTTTGCAACAACAAAAAGATATAAATATTACTCCTAATAGCTTATTTTCTGTTTATCTTTTGAGAACTAGCTACTTACATAGCAACTGTTGCGAACTTGCAGCAACATAACACAGAGCTTCTTGTTGGTATGGTGAGACAGCAGTTCAAAAAGCATATGCACGAGACTGATCCGGATAGAATTCAGAAATTGAAGGATGAGTGAGTTCATTCTGCCCTTTTTCCCCATAAAATGAATGTCTACCTAACTTGCGGGCGTTTTATAAGGATTTTATTTTAGAGTTCACTCACGTACCCCCTTCTGATTGAAAGCAGTCTTAGCTTTCTTGGTCTCTTCTGCTGTGGTTTTCTGGTACTCTTCTTCTAAATATCTTGTAGGATTAGAGAGAGAAGTACATTGGCACTCTAGTACACTTTCCCAAGAACCTACACCACATCCTGATTCTACCTACTTGGTGCATTTTCTTTTGTTTATCTTTGACTTCTTTTAAATTTTTTTTCCTTAATTCACATTGCATCCCTCTAAGGATTGCTCTTAGTGAGGCCATTGTCTTTCTTTTGGTATTGTAGTGCTGCGAGGGGGCTCATAAACCACATGTTGCATGAATCTGAGAAGATGACTGGCCGGAAATTCAGCCAGAGTTCTTGAAATTGCCTGTTCCAAGCAAATTGACTTTTAGGACCAGACTGAAAGTTTGTTATTAGCCCGATGTTTTATTAGCATAATTAATGCAGACCATACAGCAATGCTAAAAGTTTTACCAGAAGTTGAGCTTGTGATGAGGCTCATTGTAATCTGAAGAACGTGGCGTCATTTCTGATTATCCCGAGAATACATTTTTCCATGTTCTTGATTGATTAGAGCCCTGGAATAATTAAAACATATTCCCTCTGTTGTAAACTTGTCACCTTTCAGTTTGAGGTTCGATTTTTCCATTCTGTTTTTTCTTCACCTTTGAAGGTCAACTTTACTACAGTTTGGCCAGGAATTTTGAGAAGTATTTGTGGTACTTTTGAGATGAAAAGGCCTTAATCTTTTAATACTAGTGTATAACTCAATAAAAATGTTCAAGTGATGAATTTATTTGCATTATTTTTTCTTCCGTAAATAAGTTAATTGACCCTGAAAATCATATAGTGAACCACCTTTGGGATGTAAATGGTGAAAATGACAAATGCATTGTAAATTGTAGAGCAGCTCTGCTTTTGACCAAAGAGTGAGTTTCGGGGGAACAAAAATCAGATCGAGAACCAGAAAGTTTGTGGCATTATCTGATAATTTCCCCTCTAAAGTTGGCTAATCTTGAGCAATTTATTCTTTCAACTTGTCCCAGGAGAAGTTCTCTCTTTTCTTTTCCTTTACTTTCTTGTTTTCTTTATGCACTAGTACTTGATACTTGATAGACTGAACTTGTATACACTTTTAATATAAAAACATACGCTGTAATTCAACTTGATAAGTAATTTTTACTAGTAATTTGAGCTAGTTTTAGTTGAAACTGTGAGTAGTTGATCGTCTTGCTTCCCTAGTTGTGGAACCGAAGCAGCCTCCTCTGAGCAAGACGAGGTCTTCCCCCTTAATAACACGAAGACTGTACCGTACGTATACCATGTTAGAATTTGAGGCCTTGGGCTTTGAATGCTAACAGAATCTGTGGCTGGTATATATGGCATTGCAGCTTATAACCTTCGAACTACATATACGTATAATCTCACTTCCACCTCTTGTCATCGTTTCCATCCAAAATCTCCCCATCATCAGCAAATAATAAACCTTCATTTTCCTGCTAAATAATAAGAAATCCTCAAAATTAAACCTTCAATAATGATGCATGCATTTTCTTTTGCTTTCAAATACAAAGTGAAGTATATTAATCAAGTCTGAAAAGGATGATGGAGTTACTTGTATCTTCTGCGGCGGAGCCACCTTATCCAAAGGGGTGTCAGTCGTCCGGAAAATTACACTGTATATTTTGGTAATTTTTATTTTATATACATATATTACTATATGTTGACTCCCCTTGACTTCTTCGTGTGTTTACTTCTTTATATTTTGATATCCTTAGTGAAAATTCTGGCTCAGCCACTGCTTGGAGCCGTGAAAAGCTATAAGATGGTGTTCCCAGAACCGATTTCATGGTAAGCTTCCAATGGCCATGAAGCCAAAGTAGCCCCAAAGGACTAAGGTTCGAATCATTTTGAGAAGAGGCATCGCGGCCACACATCCTCTTACTATGGTAGACCAAGTTGCTCAACCTTTGGATCATCCCAAATTCATGAATTTCACTATGAATGGAGATTCCTACAACTTACAAGATATAGGAAAGGAAAATAGTTGCATTGAATGAAAGAACTGAAATGAACTAAATCATATCCGAGATGATGGTTCTTGTCTTGGTAAACCAATGGACTCTGCATTGTTGAATACGTATATACTTCAGCCAAGTTCTCATTCCCAGTTAGGGTTGTGCATAATATGGTAAATACCGAATTGCCGTATCGAAATCGAAAATTTTGGTATTTGGTATTCGGTATTTTGGTGTTTGGTATGGTATTTGGTTTATGTTTTTAAAATTTTTGGTATTAGGTACGGTATTTGATATAAATAAAATAATACCGAAATACCAATACCGTACCGAAATATATAGTAAATTACATATTATATATATTATTGATTATAACATACTATAAGTTACACAATACTTTTTTTGACATTCATGTTGAGGTCTTCAGTACGTAATGTTTCTACGATTTTAGGTGTTTCTTACTTTGTTACTCGTGTATTGTTATAGCATTAATTTGTATTACTTTATTGTATTCTCTAAGTTCAGCAATTACCTCTAAGTAAGTAACAATATATTTTCAACGATCATATTTATTCTTTTATGTACCTTTTTTCTCTCAGTTTATACTTGCTGGTTTTAAATAAAAATTTTGTCAACAGTCAGGTGAGCTAGAACGTTTTTATATTTGTATTTGTAAGTACTTTAATTAAGAATATTACAGTTAACATTCAAGCCGGATAAACTGAAGTACCAAACCGAATAAACCGAAACGGAAAGGAAAAAAGCCGAACCATACCGAATTTAATTTGGCATTGTATTGGTATACTATTTTAAGAAACCGAATACTGAAATACCAAACCAAAATATCTAAATACCGTACCGTATCGACCGATGAACACCTCTATTCTCAGTCATACAAATTTCCGTGCTTTTGCAACTATTCGATTATGAAGCAACTGCACAACAAGGAAGGCAAGTTAAAGGTTAGGTGGTTCTCTTTCTCTCGCATACATTCAAACACCTGATGTTGTAATCTATTTCGGCACACAAGTGTGGCCAAACTCTTTGCATTGTATGCATTGGAGATTGTGGAATGACTCCATTTGCACGGGGGATTCCTAGAAGACCACATATGAATCTTGAAACAATAACAATAGGTTATGTAACTTCTAACAATAGGTTATATAACTTCTACACATTCAATAAAATATAAGACCAATTGGTGATAGGGCAAATTAATACCATAAAATCCAGTAACAACAGATCATAATGGTAGGAAGATGGCTTCATGTTGCTGAGCAAGTTGAGATACTACGTTGTGATCAAAACAATACAGGACCGCAATCATTGTTGCTGGAATAAATGCACCTAATATTGGCCTATACAAAATAAATTAGCTGCAGCTAACTTGTTGCCACCAAATGATCTCCAAAGTCAATCATACAAGCTCTTAATATGTACTCAAGAGTTTGAATAGTTCGCGCGGACTGATCATCAGTCTATGGATGAAAAGTTATGTTAAGCTCAACCTATGTACCCAACTCTCATTGTGCTGCTCTCCAAAAGTGAGATGTAAACTGAGTACCTCGGTTACAAAAAATAGAAATAGGCACATCGTGCAAATATATTGACTCTGGAGTCACATAACACCATCATCTCCAATGAAAACATCTTTGGAACCACTTTGCTGGATCGTATCCTTAAGCACTTGCAAATATGGATCACTATACTTGCGAGCTTTAATGCACTCAAACAAGTACGACTATGCAACAACTCTAGAAGGTTTAGAAATATCCAATCTCACAAATTTATTGGACAAGGCCTGAACATCCATAGCCACATGCCTCTCTTCAGCTTAAATGAATGTCAAACTATCCATACTTTCTGCTTTTTACTCAAGTCATCCGCTACCATATTCGACTTGCCCGGATGATACAAGATAGTGATATCATAATCTTTAAGTAAATCAAGTCATCTCTGCTGCCTCAATTCAAATCATTATGCTTGAACAAGTGTTGTAGACTACGATGGTCGGTATGAAAATTACATGACACACCGTAAAAGTAATACTTCTAAATCTTGAGTGCATGCATTATATTTGTCAATTCCAAATCATGAACCAGATAGTATTTATCATGAGGTTTCAATTGTCGTAACGCATAAGCAATCACTCTACCATCCTGCATCAATACTCCACTAAGACCAATACACAAAGCATCACGATATGCCCTGAATCTATGTGCAATACCAATAATTAGGTTGTAGTCAAAGTAGTTTTGAGCTTATGACAGCTCTCCTCACACTCAATGGACCATTTAAAAGGAGCACCTTTCTGAGACTACTTAGTCAATGAGGCTGCAATGAAAATCCTTCAACAAAATGTTAGTAATAGTCCACCAAACACAAGAAACTCGAATTTTCATAGCTATAATAGGTCTAAGCCAATTCTCATCCGGCTCAATCTTTTTATGATCAACCTTAATATCATCACCTAACACTACTTGACCTAAGAATGCAATTGAATTCACCCAAAATTTACACTTGGAGAACTTAGCATAAAGCTTCTTTTCCTCCCAAGTCTAAAGCACAATCCTCAAATGCTTCTCATATTCCTCCGTACTCCAAGCATAAACCAAGATATCATCAATGAACGCAACCACACAAAAGAAACCAAATAAGTTTGAACACCCAGTTCATCAAATCTATGAAAATCGCTAGAGCATTAATCAAACCAAATAACATTACCAAAAACTTATAATGACCATAACGAGTTGTAAAACCTATCTTAGGGATACCCGAAATCCTAATCTTTACTTGATGATACCTTGATCTCAAGTCAATCTTATAGAACACCTTAGCACCTTGAAGCTGATCAAACAAATTCAATACGAGGCAATGAATACTTATTCTAATGATAACCTTCTTTAATTGCCTATAATTAATGTACATCCTTATAGTACCATTATTCTTTTTCACAAACAATACAGTGCACCCCAAAGAGAAACACTTGTTTAATAAATGCCTTATTAAGCAAATTTTGTAACTGCTCCTTCAACTCAAATGCAGCCATATAGTATGATGGAATAGATATGGGCTAAGTGTCAGGCACCAAGTCAATATCAAAATTAATATCCCTATCCGGTGGTAATACCCAATAGATCGGTAGGGAACACATGTAAAAACTCTCTCACCCTTAGTATCGGATCATTGGAAGGAACCTTTGCACTAGTATCCCGAATAAAAGCCAAAGATGCCAGACATCCCTTCTCAACTATATGCTGAGACTTCAAGAATGAGATCACCCTACTTGTAGATTGACCAAGTGACCCTCTCCTAACCTAGGCAATCCTAGCATTGCTCACCTCACAGTCTTGACATGACAATCTGAGATAGCATGATATAGGAATAACCAATCCATGCCATGAATCGCCTAAAAAATCTATCATATTCACAACAAGAGATTAACTATCGTATCATACCCATTAATAGTAACCATACAAGACTGATAAACCTGACCAATCACAATAGAATCTTCAATAGATGTACACACATAAACAGGAATATGATAGCCACTTGAGAACTATAAGCTGGAGGCGTAGTATCAGATGATTGCCGTGAACCAGTAACATGTGAACCATGACTATACATTTAATTTTTTGTCAAATAAATCGAATATCTAATAAGTAAGAAGTATATTCATTCGATAATTTTATTATCATTATTATTTAATTTTCATATATATGATTTCAGTATAATTTGTTTACGAATCAGACTCCTAAAATGTTTGTGGTAAAC